AAGTAGGGAATTGCTGGAAACTGCTTTCGTTAAGAAGCTGCAGAGACAAGTAATATAATGAAGTTCAAATACAGATTAAATTTATGAACACCAGCTCCATAGTGGATTCTAAAAGTGATTGGCAATGGCATAAAGTCTAATACCATTACTTCTTCTCAATGAGGGTGACGGAACACCGGAACAGGCTGCCCAGGGAGGTTGTGGAGTCTCCTTCCCTGGAGACATTCAAAACCCGCCTGGACACATTCCTGTGTAACATTATCTAGGTGTTCCTGCTCTGGCAGGGGGATTGGACTAGATGATCTTTCGAGGACCCTTCCAATCTCTAGCTTACTCTGATACTGTTACTGTGATACTAGAGCAACTGTGGGTGATGGGAACATATTGAGTGATGTGCTGAAGACGTCCAGAATTGTCAACGTAAGCTGGAACTCTCCAGTCGCCACTATTGGAGGTAGGACTCTGTAGAACATCTCCTGGCATCTTATGCTCTGACATTGCTCGAGGTCTAGTCTGGAACTAAAGAGAGAGCCTGCACAGATGAAGAGCTCTAGCAACATGCAGGGCATGGATAAAACATAACTGAACTGTCTTAGCAGCAGAATTAAGTCTAAACTCAAGTCTAAACTCAGAAATTAAGACACACTTCCTGCTGTGATGTACTGCTACATCTTTCCCTCCAATGATAGCGGAATGAAATGCAAATGCAGTGGTTCACAGGTGAGGGCAAACAGCTGTTTCACATAAGAAATCAGAGACCTAGAGATGGGACGTGATGCAGCTTGGTATCGAGATACAGGTCTAGCTGGAAGGTAGAGGGAAGGAGGTGGAAGCCTGGGTGCAAGACATATAATACTGGGACTTGACAAATCTTAAGAGAGACAGGGAGAAGTTCAGGCATAGTTTAGGATGGATGTTTGAAATCAAAGCTTGAGGTGACTTGGTATGGGAATGTTATTGGAAAAAACAAAAAATAAGGAAGCAGGAAGGGAAAAAACACCACCTAAAGACATTCCTATTTCTTTGATTTTGCTCTACGACTGATCTTTTCTCAGTCCCTGCCTACACAAATATGCTATGAACTTGACAGACTGTCAGCCAAGTATTGTAAAGCAAGCTATCCTGCCACTGATACAGCCATCACCGTGTTAAGTCCTTGATAAGGTGGATGTGAGGCAGCTTCCCAAATGTTAAGCCTTTGAGTACACCCACAGCTTCTAGAAAACAGCAGATTCAGAGCTGACAGTTTGTTTAGCTAATAGCATTTTCATACCTCCAAACATCTTGTTTTTAACAGTTTAATTAAACCTGCATGTGCATGCATGCACCAATCCTTACACACATACCCTTTTCCTAGATATTACCCAAGATGCTCCTCAAAGAAAGGAAATCAGAGCCCTAGGGGGGGTCTAAATTTCTTTTCAGATTCCCAGAATACAGACAGCATATTTAGAAGTAGCCTAAGCTTCCTGACTAAGCCCCTCCTCTCCTGCTTCCTTGTCTGTCTGTGCTTCTAAGGAAGAGGTGGTGGTAAAGTCTGCAATGTTTAGTAAGAGTGTGAATGAGTGTGAATGCCAACTGTCAGATTTGATCTGGCTATGTGAGTGTCTCTCCAACAGGCATGGAGAAGTCACAAGAGAATTGCAATTACTGGTCATAAATTGTAAGATTTGTTTGCCACCATCATGAGAAAGCCAGCTATTCTTTTGATGAAAAGACATCTATTCTGATGTTCACAAACCTCCTGAAAATCTATCTGATGGCAGAGATGTATAAAAATGCAGTTCTGGACAATTTAAGTTTAGTTTTAAAATAAACACTTGCAGCTAAGCCATAGCATGACAATAGGAACTGATAAGGCTGTTTCAGACTGTAGGAGGTGGAGATGAGTAAATGCCTTTGCCAACTGCCAGACTGCATGTCTGACACATTGCAGATGTAAATGCATGTAACTCAATGGAGAGACTATGCTGAATCACACCCACTAGGGATGTGCCTGTGTCTTCAGGTCACAAAGTAGTAGGAAGACAGGAAACACAAATTCCTTGATATAAACTGGAACAACTTTATGCAAGCCAGGAGCCTCCCTTAGTTTGTCTCTGAGGCAGCCCAGAGTCCTATGTTTGTCCCTTTGGCCAGGTGCATATTTTTTTATTTTTCTTTTCCCCATGTCAAAGCTGTGAAAGCCAAAACTGCTGTGTAAGAACATGTGTCTTTGCTGGAGAGGAACACTATGAATGCAAAAGGAAAGATTTTTTTATTGTTTCTCTGTGAAACATGACAGTGTTTAGATCCTGAAGACAAGGATTTGGGCATTTGGTGTTACTGCTGAGATAACCTAATCATGTGTTCCATCTCCTTGGAAGAAAAAGAACAAAACCCTAAATAAGAGGAAGCTCAGAAATGGATCTGATTCCTTGCAAGAAACAGAACTTTTATGGCTCTGTCAGGATCAGATACACCTCTGGGAGATGTCCTTCCATAAAGCATTCACTGCTGGGCCTGTTCTAGAGGTATTAATGAGTGGTGATATTCAGCATGCTGGACTGGGTCATGTAATATTTCCTGCTGGCCTATAAAAGCTGCATTGCCATCAGTATGTGTGAATTGCATACTATCTTCTGAAGGAAGATCTGAAGTGTGGTTTGTTAACCATAATTACACCTTATGATACCTGGCCACACAGAGAGAACATAGTACTTAAAGTATCCAAAAGCCTAGGTTAAATCAAGAAACAAACCCCCCCAGTTTTGATTTTTGTCCTGTTGTTCTGGCCCCAAATCAAACTCCCTCCAGTCACTTCTGGGAACAAACAACACAGGTGACAACTTTCTGCAGTGAGTCCACCAAAATGCTCTGGGTTATTTGCATTTGTAGCTCATCTTCAAGTTTGGGAATGTAAATTTGTTATATCATAGAACTTTTCAAGACACCTATAGTGTTCAGCACCACTGGGTCTCTAGGCTTTGATATAGCAGCAGCTCATCTCAAAATGAATATCGATTAATGGAGCTATTTAAGTCAGTGGGGAAAAAACAATAATTGAAAAACAATACTTAGCTAAGAACGGTTACCCATATCTTGTTGTTTCAAGAACTCAAATGATTTATTTTTGAGCATGTTCCGCATCTAGCCTTAGGCTACTGAGAATGTTCAGGATGAAAAATTGAAAGTATAATTAAAAAGCATAAAAAAAGGAAGAAAAAAAGAGGAAAAAATGATGGTGTTGGCCACATGCACAGCACTGGATTGGGAGTTTTTTTCTCATTTATCAGCCGGAATGGTATTAGAGATTTATGAGTTGTGCAATTCTTGTGTGATCAACTGTCAGGACCACAGTGGCAGTGCAGCAGCTGCAAGAGCACAAGCCAGGCTGTTGGACACTAACCCTGTGTCCTCTTCTTTGAGGAGTCAGTCACAGCTTTGGTCCTGAACAAGCAGAGAAGGAGCTACCTCTGGAATTGTCTTAGCCAGTCTATAGATAGCATTAGTCCTGAAGCAAGATAGTTTATAAACTGTCAATTTACACAAGATTTTTGGTGGTGTTTTTTTTTGTTTGTTTGTTTGTTTGTTTTTTTCATTTAGTTGTTTTGTTTAGTTTTTTGTGGGGTTTTTTTTTTTTTTCTTCTAAAGGAGTAGTGGGCCTGGATCCATAAGAAGTGTCCCTAGCCTTATAGAGGCACCACATACAAAGGTATTTCAAAGTGCAGTCATAGGGTACCTTCCTGTGTACGCATGACCAAGTACCTCACAGAAATGTGTAAAAGTAAACACATGAAGCCCTTCTGTAATATTGTAGCCTTCACACTTAAAGATTTTGGAAATAATCACAGTGTGATTATATCTTTATAATATGTCAAGTATGGTGTGGGATACAGAAGCAAGCAACACTAAAACTATTAATAAGCCATTATTTGCCCCTCTTTATAAGCAGTTATGCCTGCATTTTGTTTTCCTTCTGGGCTCTCCCCTGGATGCCAATATTAACATTCTACTCTTTAAGAAATTATTAGCAATGGCTAATCTTGGCTGGTAAATTCTGATGATAACAAAAGACATGATTCACAAGTTTTAAAAATAAACTGACTGCAAGGCATCTGATTACTGGATCCATAAATATTCAGTGTTATAGTAACTTTGTTGGAACCAGGCAGTTTTTGATACATCTCATTAGGCAATATATTTTTAACACAATAGGAACTCCCATTGCAGCCTTCCCTTTAGGCTTTCTGTGGGATTTCTTCTAATCTACTAACAAATTTAAGAGTTGCTAATAATCAAAGAATCACCAGGACCACACAGACATGACAAGTAACTAGATGAGGCTTAATGTCATTCATCTGTCTGGATAAGCAAACATAAAATCTCAACTCTAAGGGAGTGGAAGGCAGCCATCCTGAGCAGCCACTGGAAACTTGGTACCACAGAGAGACATAAACGTACACTCTGCTTTCTTGTTGCTGCTACATTAAGTCAGGGCAAAAAAACTTATTCCTTCTGTCCTGAGGAGAAAATTAGTGTTGCCTCAGAAACCATAAAACCAAACACCTTAAACATCATGTTCAGGACTGTGGGACTCATAAGACGGTACACCCTTCCTCTCCAGAAATATCGTAAGTATATGAAGCAATCTGGATGCTTCCTATCTTTAATATACAGTTAAAACCTGCAAATTAATAAACATATCCATTTGCTATCAGCTAAATACAGCTCTTGTGATTTCTTAGTAGGACTTTCCATTGTAGAAGCTTTCAGAGCCCTTGTATGCGTGAAATTACAAAGCAGAAACTCCCTTGCTGAGCTATGCCCCTCTTGCATCAGAGGACAGGCACTGCACAGTGGTATCCAAGAACGTAAAAGGCTTTTCGCTCTATTCCGTATTCATTTTGATCGTGTTTTTTGTTTTGTTTTATTTTTTCTCTTCAGTCACAGTGCAGCCTGTATCTGCTGTATAATCAATTAAGAGTTAACAACAAAAGATTTGGGATCATGGTGCTTACTTGGGGTATTCAGGAGACGTGACTTTTTGCAGTGGTAGGCTGCCTCCTGTTCGCAGTACTCTGCACTGTTTATCACGGCTTCAAGCTGCTCCACGCTGCTGTTGTAATTAAAGAACATGGTATACGGCTTCTCCATATCAGCTCTTTGGACTCTGGTTAGCCCTGTGCTGTTGTGCTGCACTGCAGTCCAGATCTTATCTTCTGTTAAATGAAAAAGGATTGAATGGGAAGTTAACAGCAAAAAACTTGCAACACACAGAGAACAAAAAAAAAAAAAACAAACCCGACTGAAATCTAATGTTTTACTGCATGGAAGAGAGCATCAGCAGGAACCTGGTCACTCTGTGATGAAGACCTATTACAGGACAGTGTAGCCCACAGAGATGTTTCTGTCTGAACCAGCTCAAGCAAACACTACAGAGCCTGCTGAGCAAGAGAGAAACTACCAGCTCCCCAGGAACCATAGGAAATCTGCAGCATCTTCTATCGCCAGGTATCCGAAGAAAATTAAGATACCTTTGAGCTAGCTTTGACCCTGAAAGAAAAGAGATAATTATGGAGGTACCACTGATGTTTTACAAACATAGCTGTATCTGAGAGCAAAGCTGTGGCTGATGAGCTTGCACAAACTCGCCACAAACAGAAATCACAAACTGTTGCCAGAAACCTAAAACTGAGAGTATGTTCTTACCACTCAGTTGGAAGTCAGATCACTCATTCAGTTTTCAGATTTTTCTGTATCTAAATTGAGTGATGCTGTGCTTAGATGATGGTACAGAAAAACATATGATATAACATCTGTAGTTAACTGTAAATGTTGATAATTTTCCATGCTGGGGAGTCCATTCTCATCTCCTTCATTGCATTTGCTGGCAGAGCAAGGGATATTGTAGCTGACAGAAAGCAGAATCTAGGCTTAAGCGCAACCAGCCCTGTAACAACCCAGCTTATGAGCAGCATTGGGGTTGGCATATGATAGGCAGAACATTGCAATTAGAAACAATTAGCTTAGCAGGGAGGCTGTTTCCCAGCTTGCTCTGGTGAGATAGTAACAGGTAAGATAACAAGGACAGCCTGAATGGCCAATCTGCTGAAGTGACCCAGAACAAAAGGCAAACTCCTTAATAAGTATTCACAGGACTCAGCCCTGCACGTGCTCCACAATATTATGAAGAGTCACATCCAGTAAATTCCCTCTTTATCAAAGACCCTGTTTACCTACAAAATACTGACTGGGCAAAAATTTAAGGAAGTAAATTCTAATCATTTGATGAAAGGAAGATTTCAATCTGACTTGCAGTAATCTAGAGTTACAGAGGAAGAGGCAAGGTCTAGACAAGAGATTCTATTTTGTTATTTGCTTCAACAGGGAAACCCTGGATAACACTGAATCAGATCTTTTCTAAACTGATCTTAAAAACTATGTATCTAAGTATTCAGAAGTTTTCACCAGACTACTTAATCTAAATTCTTGCAGAGCTTCCAATACACCAGCAAAACAAATCCAGTAGCTATGTGGCTACTGTAATGCACCGCAGTTGGAGTATTCTCAATTAGGCTACAAATATCCCACAGAGTACTTCAAAATAACTCTAATAGGTGTATAAAAATCCTAAATGGACTATCCATGCAAAGACACTCAGATGATTTAATGGATTGTCATTATGGAAGCATTCAGATGGCAAGCAAGTAAAAACCACCATCTGGAGACTATCTAAAGAGGTCTGTTCCAAGTCCGAGCTGCAAGTTATGGGGAAATTACTCTCCCAGTAATGTATGGCATTAACTTAAGGACAGTTTATGCTCAGCAAACCATACATTCACTCACAACATTATCATTATTTCTGTGATGGTAGACAGAAAGAGTTTGCTCACAGGTCTGTAATTCTGTAGTTCTTACTGAGTTCAGGATGCTGCTCATAGATCCTGTGAGTTGGAGCTCAAAGAAACATTGCTGCAATGTGTGACACACAAAATATAGATTAAAATCACAAGACATCACAAATTTATTGCTTGTAAAACTTGTCCCAGTGATTGCAATCACAGTCAACACTGTAGCCAATACCGTGGACAGTCCTGCACACGTATTGCACCCAACACAATATAATTCAATGACTTCATAACACACATATGAAAGTAGTGATTCTTATCAGCCAGAGTCACTGTGCTTTTATTTTTGTTCTCCCAAGGACTGACATGAACAGAATGAATTTTTTCAAAGCAGTTGAGGGTGTTCTAACTTTCCTCTCACTGAAGTTGGAAGAAGTTTAACTCCTACATTCACTGAAAAAACTACTAAAAAAGACAAACACGAAGTTGCGGATACTTTAAGGAACATGTAAACCCAAGAGATGATGGAATTAACTGGTTGCTGAAAGTCCAGATTGGCAGTCATAAGATCCTCCCCACTGAGAGTTATTAACATAATTTTGAGAAATTACAATGTTTACAATAGCGGCTACAGTGCTGTTCAGGAATTACAACAGGCTAGAGCTTCAGAGTGGTTAACACCACTGTGCTTTCCAGGCTGTGTATTTATGCACCAAGAAAGGTGCTGTGTCGGTACCTGAAAAGTTGAAAGCATAAAAATCTAGTAGTTTAAAAGCAACATAGGAGTACTAGGAAAAACTTCGTAAAAATACCATAGCATAAAACAGTCTTCCCAAGAAGTGTTAGAAATATAATTAATTGACATCTTTGAAATGAAGATGGACAAGACTTCAACAAACATACTGTTAGTGACAAGCACTCATTAACAAGTGTGTTGGACAGACAATAGACAGTTCTTTATCTGATTTTCCTCTGTAATTGTTCATTAATTTTCAGTGGTCTTGTTATTGTTACAGCTGTGCTCACCTGTCCTTAAATGTGAACTATGACATTCAAGAACTGCTTTTCTCCACAGGATCTTTTAGAACTGAGACGCTAACTTCAGATTTTCCATCCTCTAGTTTGCAAAGGAAAAGGAAAACAAAGTTTCTTTCTGTACTCAAAGTAACTGTGATTTTGCAAGTACATAAGAACAGAGAGTTCAAAAAAGTAATAGCAGAAGGGAAGAATTCCAGATTTACATTTCAGAGATTTTATAGATCAATGAGATCTGTGCTTTGCTGGTCACTTCAAAGATTCCCTCTATGTTCCACCTTGAAAGTAAAGGTAACCATCAGCACACTCTTGCAAAATATATACATTCAGCTCACTGATCTAGTAGTAAAAGGAAAGCCACAGCCACCACCAAGCATCCCTGTGGGATGGCAAAAGCTACCACTATTCAAAAGTTTTTTTCCCTATGTAGCTGGTGTAGAAAGAGCACAGAGAAACACATCCTCTGCTACCTTTTTTATTTTTAACAACAACATCAACAACAACAACAAAGCAGTGAAAGAGGCTTTAAAAACTTGTAGTTTGAAAGGAAGCCTTTAGATTAGAAGGGCAGCTAACACACCACAGATGCAAGACAAAAGAGCTGGTGACAACAATGTTAGAGGAAGAAGAGAGATAAATTCAACTATTTCAGCCATACTTCCTCCCACTTCCCAGGGAAAAAATAAGTACACACATTTTAGCAAGAGGGATGTGAAGCAAAGATGGGCTAGGTAGTGTACATGAAGTCACAGGCACCTGCTAGATACAGATAGAAAAAAAAACAACAATAGGGAAAGTTCCTTCTTTCAAAAGGACACCCCTTTGATTACATGCAGCAAATGAGCCTGAAAACGATTTAATCTTTAGTTTGCTTTGGACAGAGTGGGAGAGCTACTTCTCCCTCCTGCGTCTCAACTGACTGAGGGAGAAGTAACTAAGAGCAGGAGGGTAGTAAATTTTTTAACTATTCCAAGACAATAGCAAGACTATGTGCACCTGCCTCCATAGATCTGAAAACAACACAAAAATAATCCCAGCCTTTCTTCTGAAGACCCTCACCATTCAGGTCAACTTCTGGGTTTTATTCAAGCACCATTTTCTCCACCTTAAACCTGGCAGCATTAAGAAAAAGATAATATTATTTTCCTCAAATTCACATTCACAAGCTTCAGAACCTGCGTCAGAAATGTAGCTGCAATCGACATGCACACAGATCACTACACCTAGAAAACAGTGCAAAGCTGTCTGCAACTCAGCTCTAAGACCTGCGTATGCCTTTGCAGTCATGCCTCTGCACAGATTATGTCATGGCTTTTGAAATTAGGGCTTTAAATATTGTTCCTATTTCACAACAGGAGGTTCAGGTTTGTTTTTTTAATCTTTATTCTTTTTTGTTTTGTTTTCATTACATTTTTAGGCGGTGGCACTGTAATCATAGATGCAAATCGAGTGCCACTAGTTCCTTCTAGATATTTCCATACCTGGAAACTGTTAAACTAGGCAGATAAGGAACTCTTTTCCTTTTTCTTTCAACAAAGAAGTTATCATTACATTTTTATATCTATCCATACTATATGTTTTTTTCCTGTTTACTCAATTTAACTAGCTCTCCCTGTGCTTCTGAATTTGCAATGAGAATGAAAAAGCTGTTCTCCAGGCAAAGGTCACTGCCTAATTTTACCTTCTGTTATTTAACTTTATTGTTTTATTACTTTCTCAGCTTGGTAAAATTTTGAACCACACACAAGCTGAAAATAATTCTAAACCCAGTAGGAGAGTGAAGCCACAGCATCTACTGTATAGCCTGTAATAGTTAAATGCAGCCTTCAAAAGCATATTTCCTAAATGCTTGTTAAATTGTTCCATAATTCAAAGGTGACAGTGCTTTAATTTCAGGGTAATGCTACAGCTTTATGACTTCACAATTTTATTTAATGGTCCAATTTACTAGGATATTATGCTGCCTGCATTTGGCCCTAGGAGATGTTTTTACAGCATGGGACTGCAATGCATTCAGCACATTTTAGACCGTTTAGCCTCACCCATTGCTCTATCATCTTGCTGGAAGCCTCCAAGTTGCTTTTGACGGCACACAAATTAAATTGTGGGAAATTAGAGCAGCTGGAAAACTGGCTTTCAATGAGCTCTGTATTGTCTAATTCTCATTTTTATTCTTCAACTTTAAATATCCCCGTGGAGCACATTTCACCCATACAAACTGCATCACTCCTTTGTGATTTAGGAGGTTTGTCACAAAACAAGATTATTCAGACTGATTAAATTGCCAACAAGCCAAACATACGGTAAATGCTACAAGAGGGAGAGAAAAATTGCTC